TTTGTAATAATCTTGTGCAGGCTTGGCTTGCTAGGGACATCCAGTGGTGATCAGCTAAGCTTGTTCAGCTTGCTATGAAACTCTGTGGCTCACTCGCACCATTCTGCGGCTACACAGGGATGTTACCTGCTATTTTATACGAACCCACAAAAGGAATTAGCAGAAGGGCACAATGCCTCCTCCAAGCCGAACAGTGCCTAAGTTCTTATCTACAATACCAAGCATCATACTCGTGCCAAGGAGCCTTAATGGCATTGTTTTTTTGTTAGCTAAGGATAGATTCTGCAATGGACGGATGGGCGGAAACTCACAACCGCGTCTTCCTCGTTGCCGCTGGCCTTCTCTTCATCGCATCGAGGCGAGCCAACCAGGAAAGCACAACGGTTATGAGTCTCCGCCCATTCGTATCGTGTGTCTTATCACGGAATATGTCTTCAAGAAGGGAGCAATTCCTACGAATCGATAAATCTGTCACTTACCAACGGCAAGATGTACCGAGAGAGCAGTTTTGTCCATGTTTAGAGACCACATGTGTAAGTCATGCACACTTTGAACATTATCCAAGGCAGCCAGATCTTCTTTCACGGCATTGAAGTCCATATGACGGGGTGTGGCTAAAATCACATTGTTGAAGCAGTGCTTTGAACGTTCACAAAGAAGCCCTTCGAAATGAACAGGCAGAAAAAACATCATGACAGGTGCCAGGGAGCTGATGAGAACCATCAGCCTTTCCGGATTTGTATTTATGTTCGCCTACACCCTCTCATCGAGATAGTGGTCTCGTCTTTCTTCAACCTCAGTACACTATAGACGACCGGAAGGGACCAGACCATCATTCCCCCCCCCCCCCCTCCAACCTCCATCAAGAGAAAGGAGCAAAAATGTGAAGATCATACCTTCCATAAGTACAAAGAAGATATCTCGAAGTACGTGAATTGTCGTGAACAGTACGATTATTGAGAAGAGGAACGTACAAATCGGATCTGCTAACTCCCAGCCAGTGAACTGAAGAGTAATTTATGTAAAATATGGACAATTGCGAAATCACAAAAAGAAGTGTCTCACCTTGATGACCAGAGCTGCAATGAGCACACCACATCGCATTTTATTTTTTTTTTACGATTCAGATCGCGAGAACCGGGGAAGTGAAAGCTGCTCTGACCGTTCACATTTTTGCGCGCCAGTGGAATGACTGGAAGTCGGGGTTAGGGATCTTTTTGAAGCGTAAAAAACAAGTTGCAGGAGCGGCGTAAGCGAGGACTATGGGGTGGGAAAGGGGCCTTCAGGCAGGAACTCCTTGTGCAAGCATGAACTGATGACATCTGAGAAGTACAGACCTTCAGACATTCCCCAACCCTGAAGTTTCTTCCTTTGAGGGATACCCTGCAGTCCTCATCTCCATTGCGGGAATCGTAGTCATGCACTTTTACACGATGAGACTTTTGAATATCCCTCCCCCATCAGGTCAGTAGCGTCACTTTGTCAGATTTTCCGTGTCTCACAACCGCCACTTAATTGCTTGCGAACACTATAAATTACGGCTCTCGCCTATAATATCAAGAACATGGTCCGTTCCTCCCCAGCTCAAAAACCGAATTCAATTCTTACTATTACACATCATAGAAAGCCCTCAAACAGCTTTGGCTGACGGGAAAGGTAAGGGTGGGAGGAGGGGGGGGGGGGGGTTTACAGACAACGAGATTAGGACACATTCATCTTTTCTCTACCGCGCTAATTGAGGCTAACGTCGATGGGTTGTGAAGCGTTACTTCTGAGTCACGCGGCGTCCAGCACAACGGCAGCAACCCGAGTATCTGCGGTCTGCTGGATAACTAGAACTCAATCCTTGGAAGGCCGCCGATCTCTCTGCGTTTTCTCTGCCTTTCCTCTTGTCGCAGACACATCTATGCCGGTCAATGTGGCTTCGCACATTCCAGCTTCTCACGGATGATAAGTGGCCCACCCACACCGGAGTCCCCTTCCGTTGGAAAAGCTCGTTTCCTGGATCGCCGTATGTTTTTAGCATGTTTCGATGCTTTGGCAGCTGCTGTTCTCTATCTATCTGCGTTACTTGGTTTCGCAACAGGACCATGGACAGCGCCTGCCAAAGCATCAAGACGTGCAAGAAACTATGGCGAGCCAGGAAACGAGCTTTTTGAAGGGGAGGGGACTCCGGGATGGGCAGGCTACTTATCATACTTGAAAAGCTGGAATGTGGGAAGTCACAACAATGACCATAAAGTGCCACGCCCACGAGAGAGAGAGAGAGAGAGAAAACACAAATCTGACGGACAAAGGAATTGTGTTCAAGTTGTCCGTGGACCCAGGACCATGCACAAAAGTTCAAGATGTCACATAACCCCGCTGGCTGACGTAAGTGGCAAAGAAAGAGAGGCAGAGAGAGAGAGAGGATCGAGGGTTGACGGGTATTGCCCTACCGCGAAAACTGCGCACATCATCCAGATCCTCTTGAAAAAGCGCTGTAGTTTGGGAGGGGGGGGGAGGTGATGTGCGACGTTTATTCAACGCGACACGATAGTCACTAAGGCGCATCGGCTGTAATTGACATTCTCGCTTCGCAGATGGGACGCGTATCCTGTATCCGACAACTCGTCCAGAACGATCAATTTCATGATGGGCCTGGTTGATCGACCTAGATCGACAGTATGCGAAAATAGACGCCGAATTGTGTGCAAATGACTTTGCTTAGCCACGCTGCTTCTTTTTCCAGGCTACTTCTCTTTATTATCTCTTCATCATCTCTACATCTCTTTCTTAACG